GGATCGGGCAGTGTTTCGTTCTGCTGTGCATAAGGTCGCTATGAGTCGGTACCGACTTGATGGCACCTAACAACAACAACCATCTTGCAGGAGCAAATCACCAGATCTTTCTCCAGTGGAGCAGCTGGTGGGTTCAAACTGCTGGCCTTTCATTAGCAGTTAGTCACTTACCCATTACGCCATCAGCTCTCCTTATGTGCAAGGCTAAATAAAAAAAACTCTGATCACTTAAACTCATTTAGCTACAAAACCTGACCTGTGGTGCTTTAGCTAAACATATCCTACTTTATCCCACGTTCTTGGAATAGTTATATATTTGCTGAAGATGTATTAATGTATTTAAATATGGAGTGCTGCTACAAAAACAGCTATATAACATATAAAAGCACAGAACTCATTTCTGTTTATTCTGAATCTTGAAACTTGTTTTTTTTTTCATTTTTATTGAGCTCTGGTAGCGTAGTGGTTATGAATCGGGCTGCGAACCGCAAGGTCAGCAGTTCGAAACTACCAGCTGTTCCGCGGGAGAAAGATGCGACTTTCAGCTCCCGTAAAGATTTATGGCCTCGGAAACCCTGTACAGGGTTGCTATGAGTCGGAACCGACTCCATGGCACATAGCAACAACAACAATCCTTATTAAGATACACTAAAGTACGTGCACTTCAAGTGTGCAGTTTGAGTTTTGAAAAGTATAACTACCATTACAATAAAAATTTAGAAAATTTTGCCCCGGTCTCTGGCTCCAACTGTCAGTCTGCTTTCTGCACATAGAATTTCATGTAAATTGAATCTGTGTCTTGGAAAGCAAAATATTTGAGCTTTAGCTACATTGTTATTTGTATCACATCATTCATTTTTATTGTTGCTTTGCAACTATTCAGCTTTGCTCTTGTAGCAGAAAAGCAACCATAGACAATACATACAAGAATGAGTTACCCTGATGCATGATGATATTGAGCATCTTTTCATGTGATGATTGGCCATTTCTACATCATATTTTAGTTATATGCTGAAATCTTTTACCCATTTTTAATTGGATATTTATCATCTTATTATTAAATTATGAGTCTTTATATATCTGCCCCTTGTCAGAGAAATGAACTGTGAATATTTTTTTCAATACTATGGATTGCTTTTCATTTTTTTAGAGATGTCTTTTAAAGAGAAAAAGTGTTTATATTTTATAAAGAATCAGTATCTATTTATGCTTTTATAGTTTATTTTTGTGTATATGTTCTTTTAAAGAAATCTTTGCAATAAATGAGTTTCTTGTATTTTCTTTTAAAAACTTTGAAGTTTTTGCTTTTTAAGTTTAGGTCAGTGATCATTTTATACTT